TCTTAATCTCAGGAAACAAACTGAGGGTTGCTGGAGTGGAGGGGGGGGGGAGGGGGGGGGGTGGCTGGGTGATGGACACTGGGAGGGTATGTGCTATGGTGAGCCCTGTGAATTGTGGAAGACTGATGAATCACAGACCTGTACCTCTGAAACAAATAATACAGTATATGTCAAAAAAAAGGTATTTATATCATTGGAACACAATTGCAAACCTCAAATACAAAAAAAAAGTACTTTAAAAAGCAGAAACACATCGAAACCAAAACAAAGACCACAGGGTGAAAAATAATTCATATAGCATACTGTATATTAAATATAGTATGTCATATGCAACTTTTTTGCCACATAATTTAGAGAAGAACACAACTGTATATAAAAATAAAATGAAAAAGCAGTAAAAGTTAAACCATATTTTTTTAAAATATTTAAATATGGGGAAAAGAAGGAATAATACAGAGATTACAAGAATGGATGCTCAGCTTCTTGGACTATACATTGTTCTGTAGCTTTAACTTCTGGAATCATTCAAATATTTTAAATAATTATAAACTAAAATTAAATTTTAAATGAATCATTCCTAAAAAGAAAAAACAAACCTAAAATAAGTCAAAATACAAAATTACAATTATTTTTCTTCTTTTTTTTTTAAGATTTTATTTTTTTATTTATTTGACAGAAAGAAACACAGCAAGAGAGGGAGCACAAGCAGGGGGAGTGGGAGAGGGAGAGGGAGAAGCAGGCCTCCCGTGGAGCAGGGAGCCCAATGTGGGACTCGATCCCAGGACCCTGGGATCATGACCTGAGCTGAAGGCAGACGCTTAATGACTGAGCCACCCAGGTGCTCCTACAATTATTTTTCTATTTCACCAAGTGGGTTTCTTTTATATCTGCTAACAACTCAGGATGTGGACTTGGGGTTTATAAAAATAACATTTAATATTTGGGCTCCAAATAAACAGAAATGGTTCTCGACTTTTTCCTCCACATCTAACAAACACAAGAAAACAAATCTTAAATTAAATGAGTCAACTCAGGAAAATGTTACTCACTATCTTCTTTTTCATTTCTCTAGGAAAATAAAGGAAAGTCTGGAGTGCTTCCCTGTTAAGTTAAATAACTTGATCCATACACTTGCACAAATGACAGCCATAAGTCCTGCTAAATCTACTTCACAGACTTTTCCCCAGGAATCCTGTATGCTGAATGCAACCAGGTCAATTCAAAGAGCGACAATTTTAGGGTTCAGCAAGAAAACTAGTAATGTAAGTCAACACTGTCATTTTGACTTAAATATCATTTGACTTCATCTCAGACTTCCCTTCACTATGCTACACATCCTTCCTTACATCATGATATTTTTTTACTATGCAAATGAAAAATCAGTTACAGTTTGAGCAGAAGTGCCATTAAAAGAGAATGTTCTAAGGAGAAATCATAACAACCAGAGCTATTAGTAGAGAACCATCAAAGAGAACAGTTCCTGCCCTGTGGTAGACTATAAATCAAGAGCTAATTAAAGTGTCCACATGAAAAAAAGAGCAGAAATTAGGCAGTCTGTTCCCAGCACATAAGATTATGATATTTTTATATACTGTTTATAGGTAATTTTGCCTTTACAAATTGCATCTTTTCGCTCTTGCAATGACTTTTTGCAGAAAGGTTCTTGCTTTGTTTAGCTCACACGAAACCAGATTTAAAAATGTATCACAGGTTGATAATTCCACCTTTTGATTTTTGTCTTATTTATTTTCTGCAGCTGTATCTAATCCGGGTGAAACACAGTAACAATGAAACAAGCCTGACAGAAAAATCATTTGACCAGTTTTCAAAACTTCACAGCCAACTTCAGAAGCAGTTTGCATCATTGACTCTCCCAGAGTAAGGCACTGTCCTCCCCAGGGTTTTGCCTGCAGTACTTGTCCTTGAACATAAGGAAAAATTATGGTTATAGTATTTTCTATCTGAGCAACACAGCATTCTGACTCCAATGCCATTGAACCTATCCCAGCAGAGTCTATTTTGCTCCTAGAGTAAAGAAACTTTGTTTCATAAAACAGAACAAGGTTTGCAATTTCTGTTTGCTTCTAGCCATTGATTTTGTAGACAGAAAAATTCAGAAGCAATTTCATTTTCCATCAATTATCAAGAGAATTGTTTCATTTGCCTGTTTTTAAGTTTAATCTTTTTAGTTTTTTCTAGAAAAAATGAAATTGAAATTGAAAATGCAGAACTAAATTGGATATATCTATTCTTTTAACAAATAACTGCAGTAAAAAGCTCTGATATGTGTATTTCCTGTACCAGAAAACAATTCATTAATATCATTTAGTATATAAGTAAAATTTAGTAATACCAACTTACTTTCTTTGTGAATTATTAACTTTGACTTGGATTATCTCAATTTAATTTGTTGTTATGTTCATTGTCAAACAATTATGAAAACCATTGCTTTTGTTCAGGATATAATTTAAAAAATACTAAACATAAACACATTAAGAATATAAGTGAAAATTACTTCTCTTCAGACAAACCTTCTAAAATTCATCACTTTAGAACTAACCAAATTTAGGTCATAGACTTCAGTGTATACCAAAGGAGTATCTTGACTTTAAAAAGATGAACTTGCCAGAGGTTATATTGGCCCTTGGGGTAAATCAAATGTTATTTTATCTATATTGACATTTTTATTAAGTAAATGGTCCTTTAACAATGCGAATGTCCAATTTGACCTGACATACTTTTTACATGTGGATTTTTACCAGGCTTTCAGGATTTAGTCACTTTCCGAAACATAACTCTAAGCAAAGTTATCAATGGCTGCAGAGATACTGTGCAATATTGAAGAGCGAAGTACTTCATATTTATGAAAAACTGTGCTTGCAGATGTCACAGAAATTTTGAAATGCAGATGCTTTAAGCATCAGGAGGTGAACAAATTAGAGTAAGAGTATGTTCAAGAGACTGAAGGGGAAGGAATGTCATTATGGAAACTTAAAAGCAGCACCAGCTTCAAGAATTACCAAAAAAACGTCTGATAGAATAACAGAAAAGGAGGAGCTAGCAAAAAAAAAAAAAAGCAAAGTTTGACTGCAAATATCAAATTCAACATCAGTGTTGCCATTGTACTCTACTAATTAATGATTTAAAATATGTTAGTCATTGTTAAGTGGCTGCCCTTTTTGGTTTCAAAAACTTCTCTATTTTACACTTTTATCTGTGCCCTACATATTAGGACAACTTGTAAAACCTTAAAAGTGTTAATAATCTCTCTCCATATGCCTCTTCTCAATTTTCAGCTTTAGTTGGGATTATGCCTTGCTCAACAACCACTGCCTGATATTTAAATTGATTTTAAAACCATTCCAACAATGTGTATGTGTGTGCATACGTGTGGTGTTTGGTGGGGTGGGGGGCATATAGTTCCTGTATGCCCTTGACAATATTTGTATGCTGACAATCCCAAGGGAGCTAAGGCTTCCAGTGATACATATAAATGAAGTATGAAAGCAAGATTTCCTCTGACTCCTAAATTTACTAAGAGAAGCCCTACAAGAATTATATAAACCTGCTCTAGAGATTATGATCAGAAAGTTAGAGTCATAAAGAATAAAATTTAGATTAGTTGTAGTGTAAATGGTGGTCTTCAAAGAAGGCTGTTTATACCTCTAGGTACCTTCCAAGGATACACAGGCATGGAAATTTTCTGTAAAATTAATGGTCTTCTTTAAAATTAACCTGCTTAAGAAGGGTTGACTTCCTTTCCCTCTTCTACTTTCAACATTGCTCTTCTCCCAACCATCCAGAATCTTATTTTGGTACATTGTCCCAGAGAGGAAAAAATCTCTGAGAATGAAATAAAAGGCAAACCAAAACATTGGTTCAATATAAATATTGAAAAAAAGGAATTATTCTAATAATCAGATAAAAAACTTGTTTGCAAGTCAAGTGTTTCCTAATATTTGGCTTGAACAAAATGGAGGGAGGACATGATGTCATTGTCAGATAAAAGATCATAAAAAATCATTTTCACAAAATGATTGCTATATTATATGTTGCATATAACTTAAAAGCATTTCAACATTGAATGACATTACTATGACTAAATTTTTCAATTCTCTTGTACTTAATTATATACGAGACTTTTAGTACATACCTCTGTAAAAACATCAACAAAGGAATAGAATTGATGTTGAACTCCATTTTCTTTTAACAATAAGGAAAATTCATCTACAGATATACAAATTAATATTTAAAACCTGCCCAATCCATTTATCAAATGCATTTCTGGTTTGGTTAATTGTATATGGTACTAAATGTTGTAATAATTAAATCTGAATGAAAAATTTTAATACTTTATGCCTTAGAACTGCAGGAGAACTTTTTAAAAATAAAATGTCAATTATTTAAGTACACAAACATTATTTTGGACTTCCTTAACATTTCCAACAAGAAGCAGTGAATAGGATGGCCTGCAGTTGATACCTACATACTTCTGTGTTTGCTGACAGTTTTTCACTATCCCTCATGCCCATTACCCCAGGGAAATATCTATACCAAAGAAGCAGAAGTGTGAAGGAGGCAGCAGCAAGACTGCAGTCAGAAGAAGCTGCTTGATAGTTCCGAAAAAGATATATTTAGCCAGCAAAATATGTTACCAATGCTAACCATTAACAGGTCATTCCACTTAGTAATTGGTCTTAATCACATCTAACCCATCAAGATGAATTATCAGATGGTGCAGGGGAAATTCTGCAAGTTAGACTCTTGAGAAAAGTGATACTTTATTCCAAAGGACTAAGACCAGATGGAAACATATGTCACTTGGTAAAATGCTTAATTTAGTTAGTGTAGAAATATTTCTGGCGAACCCAAAAGAAACAATACAATCTGACCTTTTTCAAAAATTATGAATCATTAACTTAAGAAAGTATTTATTAAGTCTCCATATATATTTAAAGGACAAAATGTGTGGTCTTCTATAAACACAGGAAGAAAGAACATATGTATTAATATGTTAAATTAAATTAAATTAGTATTAATATTAATAAAGTTAAAATAGCACAAGTGACCACAACCATGTTAATGAAACCCTCAGGATTAATAATGTGCTCCATTTTTTAGAAATATTTTCATTGGCCCTTCAACCTGATGCTATAAATTCATGAATAACCTAAGATGCAAATTTTCAAACTAATGAAGATACACTTTTTTTTTTTAAACAGATTTCCTCACTGGTGGCACTTACCTTTTACAAATTCAGACCACAAAAGATTCAGAGACCTAAATCATTACATGGAACAGATATTAAATGGATCATATGAAGTTGCAAACGTATGTTACAATTTACTTTTATATTTTTATAAAAATATCCACTATTTTATGTATTATTACTAGAAATCTTGTTACATACCTGATGATAACATTCTTGTACTCTTATATTCCTTCAATAAATGTGCATGCCCAATATGTGTAAAATTCCTGAACAGGAAACTGGAACAGTAATAAAAGGTATAGCACCTTGACCTCAAATAACAAAATAATATGTAATTAGTGGACTATCAGGGCTAGGAAATGCCCTAGCATTTTAGAGGATTAAGAATTATTTCTGACTGTGATAGTGAAAAGGATTCAGGGAGAAGAGAGCATCTGATCTGAATCTTTAACACCAGGTAGAATTTTTTTAATGTATTATTTGTTTCAGGGGTACAGGTCTGTGATTCATCAGTCTTTTATAATACCCAGTGCTAATTACAACACATATCTCCCCAATGTCCATCACCCGCTTACCCCATCCCTCCACCCTCTCCCCCCCTTCAGCAACCCTCAGTTTGTTTCCTAAGATTAAGAGTCTCTTATGGTTTTTCTCCTTCAGAGGCTTCATCTTCTCATTTTTTCCTCTTCTCCTATGATCTTTTGCCTTGTTTCTTAAATTCCGCGTATGAGTGAGATCATAGTGTTTTAAAAAGAGTTGGCTTATAGAAGTATTTCAAATAGAACGAAACAATATAGGAAAGGTCACAAGTGAAAGAAGAAGAAGAAGGGAGGGGGGAGGAGGGATGTCATTAGATTCTATTGCTCCTGTGATAAATTACGACAAATTTGGCAGCTTAAAACAACACAGGTCTATTTTCTTTCAGTTCTGAAAGTCAGAATTCTGCAAAAGGGCCTTAAGATACCAAACTCAAGGTGTTGGTAGACTGGATCTTTTGGGAGATAGAGGGAAAAAAAACTCATTTCCTTGCCTTTTCAATGTCTAGAGATTTTCTGCATCCCTTGGCTTTTGCCCTTTACAGCAACTGCACACTCTAACCTCTGCTTCTGTCATCACATCTCTCTCTCGAACTCTTAGTCTGACTCTCCTTGTGTTTACACTGGGCCCACCTGAATAATCCAGGATAATCTCACCATTTCAAAATTCTTAATTTAGTTTTATCTACAAAGCCCCTTTTGCCACGTAAGGTAATACACATTCACAGGTCCTGGGGATTAGAATGCGAACATCTTTGGAGGGCCATTATTCTATCACAGAGATACATGAAGAAGTGCAAGAACACAATTCAGTTGGATCTCAACATTCTTGTGAGGTATCTGTGAAAGGAACATTAAAACCAGTAAGGAGGTCAGGGCCGGGTTGTCGAGAGCTAGATCTAAGCCTTAGAGGGTAGTGAGAACCTAAAAACAATAAAAAGAATAACAAATATGAGAAGAGTATTCTCCCAGATATATTGACCTTGTTCTCAGCAACCTCTTATCCCAGATCCTGGCTCTCCTTACTGGCCTGGAACTACATTCTTTTCAATTTTTAGCTTTTTAAATTGTATAACACGTATCCAGAAAAGTCTACAAAAGGTTTGGTAGAAGTGACACTGCATGGCTTTCAAGTTAGGGTAGAAAAGGCCATGCAGCTTCTGCCAATTCCTCTCCATGTATTCCCTATGGGAACCTTCAGCTTCCGTATAAGAAATCGAGCTCCCCTGAGTCTGCCAGGTGGAGAAACAGTGTAGAGAGATGCCCAGGGAACACTGCTCTGCCGGTGTCCAGCTGAGGTTCCAGCCAGCAGCTAGCATCAACGTCACAGTATTTTGAGTGGATGACTTTAGCTCCAATCACCAAATGACTGTTTGTTAGAGACCTCAAGCCAGAACACCATAGGTGAGCTCAGCCAAACCCCAGAATTGAGAGACAACGACAAAATGATTGTTTGTTTAAACCAGCAATGCAGGGACTGACCACATCTAAGGTATGTGGATTCTCATTGTTATATAGCATTCTGTTACATGAATATATTGCAATTTGTAGATCCCTCTCTACATAGACATTTGGAATGTTTCCAAGTTGGGGTCATTACAAATAATGGTGTTATGAACATTCTTTTACTTGTATGTCTCTTCATGCGCTCGCGTTGGTCATTCACCTAGGAACAGAATTTCTGGATTTTAGGATATGCTTATCTTCAACATTAGAGGCTCCTGCTTGCAGTGAATACGTGTTCCCATTTCCCACAACCTTATCTATACCTGGTATTGCCAGTCTTTCTAATTTTAGCCATTCTGGTGAGTGTGCATCTCATTGCATTTTAGTCTGTATTTTCTTTTTTTTTTTTTTTT